TGTTTTTTCATTAAAGAAACAAACAAACAAAAAAAACAAAAAAACCACACACGTGGAGAGCAGAATGGACAAATGAATGTCCCTCTGAGTCTGAGTTTCTAAACCAGTCAGTTAAACATACATTTGCATTTACAAAAAACCCAAAACATGTTGCTGCCTTTCTTCAAGCTGGAAGCTTTTCTTGTAAGATTACAAGACCTTTCAGCTCTCAAACTTTTTGTATGTGTTTTGAATGTCACTGTCTCAGGTTCCAAACTTAAACTGACTAAAGTTTTTTGGTACATCTTCGCATTTATCGTAATCCTGCATTAATTCAGTCATGTTGGTTATAGCTGTTGAAGCAACACTTGACATTGTTGTACTGCATTCTGTTATATACACATTCTGATATGCCTAAAACTGTGGTTATTGAACGCCTGAAAATCTGGGTTGTATAAATCTACTTCAGGCTGTTATCTCAGTATATATAGCAGGCAACCTAGTTGTCAGCAGTCAGTACAATTTGTGTATCTTCATATTCTATAAAAATGTATTTATTTATTTTTTTACTAATTTTAAAAGAAAAAAGGCTCAGGCTTCTGGACCTTAAAATCGCATTTCATGCACAGTGATGACAGTTCAAATTCTTAAAGATAATTGCAAAATTCTTGTCACCATTTAGGAAGCTTCTCTGCTTCAAACTGAGATTTCACAGCAAGAGCACGATCTGAATTACAGCCACATGCACCACGACACCACTGAGGTGAAACGGTTTAAGGTCAGATTCAGGCAGACAGTTCACTAGTAATCTTCAACTGGCACTATACTGTAGAAAACATATTGCTCCTTTCAGAGAGGAAACGTGTGAATTTTACACTGTACATAAGTAGCTCCCTTATTTTTGACTCTCTAATATGCCCTGGTCTCAGAATATTGGTCATTTTTGGAAATTAACCTTCTGCATCTTTGTTTGAAAGTCAGCGCACAGTTAGTACCTATAACTAAAAAGGTCTTCCCATAATAAATTGGGTTCCCATGTGATTTAAGAGGTCTGATTATGTCCACAAAAGTAGCATTTCTTTTTCTGTCAGAGTTGACTCAAGAGCAGTGAAATATTGTTAAATTAAGATTTGGTGGTACTCTTATTTCTAAGGAGCATAAACACTATATTATAGTTATTTTAGTTGACACTAAATCTTAGGTCAGATTGTCTTATTATTTACATACAAAGTGCCGAATTCAGACTTACTAAGCTACTGTTAGGATGCTTTGTGTTAAGAGCTGAAAAGTGTACTGTATGTAGACAAATTGGATTCATCCAGCTAAGATACTGACAATGTATTGTCAATGGTTTCTTGAACTTGTGCTCTTACACTGTATCATAAGGCCCCAATATAGATTATAATATAGATTATTTGTACACTGGATTAGGGATATACTGGCTATGGCTGCAGTGATGGCAGAATACGATTCCTGTGTATGAAACAGAAAACTATAGCTATAAAGAGTACTTTATAGGCTCTCTAGTTATAGTTGATTAGACATGATTGCTGATCCCCTTTCAACATGAGAAACTGCATTTTTCAATATTTAACAAAAAAAATAAACATGTAAAAAATCTTTTTAAATTCATTTTATATTTACAAAAGACACAAGTCAGTGTGGAATATACACCAGGCTTCGGGAAAAAGGCTTGAAACTGAGCTTTTGTAAAAAAAATAAAAAATAAAAAATAAAAATAAAAAAAAATAAAAAATCCCATGCCTCTATTCCGAGATGCGGTCCAATATTAGGCTTTTCATCTGTTTCTGAAAATATCCATCATTCATACTTAGTCTGTTTTGTTTTTGTTTTTTTTAAAGAGGTCTCATCCGGGGGGAAGTTCCAATGAAATCAAACCGATAAAGCTCATTTGTGCACCTGTTAACTCCAGAGAAAAGTCTTCAGAAAAGTGCTTTTTACCATTTGGGATGAGTGAAGCTGATGTTGTACTGCTTTCCCCAGCGTGCAAACACCTGTTTCTCTGTAATAAAGCGATGGTGGTTTCCTCTTCGGCTGCTCTCGTGCTGGATGTATGTTACACATTCATCACCGCCCCTGGGCTTGTAGTAGTGGTATGGCATCTTCTTGGATCCAGATTTTCTTCTGGAAAAACAAATTGATTTCTTTATTGGTTAACTGGTTTAAATTCCCTGTAATGGGTTGAAGTCAAATGTTATACTTACCCACAGTGATTGGGTGGAACCATCCCATATACTTTGATATTATCACATATTTCAATGGCTATGACCATTGTGAACCAACCTGTGCTCAACCACGAGTGAGATTTTTGTCTGAGAAGAAAAAATAAACATATAGGAAAACAGCATTTGGTTACATTTATCAAAACATTTTATAACCACCCTTAACCTGTTAGCAGTCGGACGTACCGCCCACGGTACATTGGATGGTTTAGGGGACTAATTGTAAATTTGTAGGACTGCTAAGGGGTTAACACTCACCGGTCACGTCCTGTCTCTCTTTGGAACAGGCTGTCAAATCTGCGCATTTTGCTCGGTGTGACAGTGAAACAAGAGAAGTCTCTGTAGGTCATGCTGACTCTCTGGATCAATCTGTACAGGGTTCCTTTGGCATCTTTCCCAATCTTGTTTGGGGGTCCCCAGAAAATGATCACTGGGTGGCTGTCTGTATGTCGTAGGAACTCATTAGGTCTCCGGACCACCCTGAACACACTGGAGTGGGCTACGACCCTCAGAGTGGTCCGGTTCCCGACGTCAGATTCATACCCCGTCGTAGGGGCATCGTTCATGCGGATCACACACTCGGTGCGGTCAATCTCGTCTCCCGCTCGACTACCCAAGACGTGGCTGGAGCTCGTCACCAGTGCACACTCATGACAGTGCATGGTCATACTCTGAAAAGAAGCACAAGATGGAGCTTTTTAAGATAACATATTAAAACAATAGCTGTCCGCAACAGTGGTGTGGTGTCTATATTTTACCAGTTTAAGTGCTGATTTAATTTTTTTTAAAAACCCTAAAAACACTAAAACTAAATGCTAAATCCAGCTGACAACGCTCATAACAATGATAATAAGTTATTAAAACGTTTTCAGCAACACGGGTCATGCAAATGTGTGTGGGTTTAGCCACACATAGTATATGATAACGTCCATGTATCTGCCCAGTCTTAACAACTACAGCCCAGTGTGTTAGGTAGGGTTATAATTATATCAGATTCTTGCTACCTGATTAAAATAATAAACTTTATTGACATGCAGTATAAGAAAAAAACAATAAGGGTTTCTTTCAGGGAGTTTCCGGGTGTTTTTAGCTCTGATCACATTATAACGGTTGGCAGTGGGACAATTTGGAGCCAGTGCACCTTATCCCAAGTCTCTAACTTCAGATTGGGTTGACATCCCAGTCAATGCAGTTTTTTCCTAAAGAGGAAAAAAGCAACATTTTTTCTTTACTATTGGCTGGTTCAGGAAGCCACCCCTATGCACAGATAAAACTCAACTTGGATATAGCGTTCACAGGACAGCCTGAGCTGGGCCCAGTTTAATGACATCCTGTTACAGCTTCTTCCAAAATACATATTAGTAAATTACTTCAGCAGCATTTGATGCACTCCATTTTGTCTCCATACCTTCACAGGTATTTAGAATAAAACACAAGATTATACATCCAAATGAGTGTCGCAGTCTCTAAAACTAAATTAATTTCACTCGCATTACCAATCGGGAAACTGACTCTATATTGATTTCTGGTTCAAAGTTCACTTATAGTTCCAGCTTTAACTTTGAGTGTTTGTGCACAACCTACTTTGTTCCCATAAATTGGCACATAGCCGTCTTTTCCTGTCCATTTCCTCAGGTCTGTGGTCTTGGCGGCATGGTTGGTAGCCACATGGAAAGAAGCGTAGACAGCATCGATGCTGCTGTTATTGTTGGAGCTGTACAGGATGAAGAGCGTCATCAGGATGAGGATGGCAGCAAAGATCACCATCTTGTGGCTCTGTTGTCCCTGCAGAGTAAAACACAATGGTGCAATATACAGAAAAACATTTATAAACATGGAAACTAGAGGCAATACTTTTACTTTTTATTGGATTAAGAAAGGACCATGAAAACCACAGTGTGTGAGAATGCAGCAGCAAAATTAAATGTTTAAAAAAAAAGTGAAACTGCACACAACCACGTTATTTTAGATTTTAATACACAAAAAGGCAAGCTCTAACTGGCCCTGATTCTTGCTATGAGTGACTTAGTGTAGGCCTAAATCATACACAGTGTAACAAAAAGATATTTTAGTGGCCCCATCTGGCATACTTGCATACATGCAGAGTGAGACAAAAGCTGACATAAAGTTGTTTCCTGTGTACAAACAAACTGTTAATGGAGAGGCAGCAGCTAATGAGGCTAACCCTCAAAACACACATGCTCACTGTCTGAGCCACTCACCACCGGCTGACCACTGAGTGTCTGCATGATGCAGCTGACTGACAGCATGAAAATAGCAGCCTGTGACATGCCAAGAAAGTGGTTGTTTCCCAAAAAATGGCCGCCAATATTAAAACTGGCGGAAATCACTTGCTGAACTATAATATGTCAAACATCTTGAGGCATGCCTCTCAACTCTTTAGGCACTACCAAAGCAGGTCATCTCTTTGCTTCATGTATAACCCTTTCGTAAATCCTGTTGACTACATCCTTTTTACTAATATAAACAAAGATATTAGATAAGAAAAACACATACAGCCACAAGTGACTGCTTTTTAGCACCAGCTGCTGCAGCATCATCATCATAAAGCTGCTGGCTGACAGGCTGATCGACCAGAGTGACATACCACTGACGACTTTTTTTTTTCTCTTTCTATCCAGGTATGCTTTTACTACACTGTCAATGTGATTGGGATCATTGTCATGTTAATAAAAATGAAGCCACAGTCAATCAAATGCTTTCCAAATAGTACTGCTTCGTCGAACACACTCTGATCGTAGTTTTCTGTATTACTAATCAGTTTTTATCAATTTTGTTAAAATCCCAAACTCCACTGGCTGAAAAACAGCCCCAAACCATGACAGAACCACCACTGTGTTACACAGATGGCTGTAGAAAAGGGGTGGGCAACTCCAGGCCTCAAGGGCCCTGCAGGTTTTAGATACCACCCTGTGTCAACACACCTGAATCAAATGATTAGATCATTACCAGGCCTCTGGACAACCTCAAGACATGTTGAGGAGGTAATTTAGCCATTTAAATCAGCTGTGTTGGACACATCTAAAACCTGCAGGACACTGGCCCTTGAGGCCTGGAAGTTTCCCACCCCTGCTGCCGCCGCTCATGGTTTCCCGTCAACTGAAGCTCCATATGCATCTCTCAGGTCTTTGTGCCAAAAAGTGCCAGGGACAGAAATGCTCTTGATGACCAGCAACCTTCTAGCCATCAGTCGAAAGTCACAACAAGTGCCTGCACTTTTTAACAGTACTAACAAAGATACTAAGGGCAAGAGGTATGGTGCCACCACACCCTCTAAAGGTCTTACCTTGCCACCCAGCCTGAGCCCCATGCTTCCTGATCAGTTCCAGCACACGGACTGTAATTGTCTGTCATCATACCTAAAAAGGAAAAGGTAGACTAAAATAGACATGCACACAAATTCATCCCACTTCATTTAAATGGCGCCACTCGTAGTGATATTATCTAGTTAGCTGTAATTAGTCTAATAGCATGTTTAGACACGTAAGTATTTACAGGCTATGTGCTGGTGTACCTAGCAGCCGTCATACAGCTGCTAGGTACACCTAGAATGTTAAAGCCAAATATTACACATTTTGATACAAAAACACCATCTTAAATGCGCAACCGGCCGCTTTCCGCGGGGTTACGCTTTTCTTTACTGGTTATTCTTAAGAGCAGCGTCCGGCTAACGGTGCTAGCATATCAATGAAGTTGACGGGTGATAATGGGTTAACGGGGGCCCGTAACGGTCCGGGTTTTTTACCTTTTCATGGTCTGTTTAGCCTCCGTTAACGCTCTCCCTCGTTTCTCTCGTGCCTATCTTCCTGCACCACTTTCTGACGTCATTGCCCCCGTCCTCTCTGTGTGCCTGCTGAGCAGTGAGCACAGCTGCGGACTCCGGAGCTCATAAACAAACGTTGCTACGGTAGTTTCCAGGATGTAGCCTGACATCGTCACAGATATGTCCTTTGTAATCAGGTTTTATTTTATGTCCGTTTCTGTTATTGTTTTCAGTTCATTTTAGTTTCACCAAGTTTTAGTCTTTTAAATGCTGCTCCATATTACATAAATTAAGTAACAGATAATATGCATTGCACAAAGTCTACACAAAGCTTTGTGAAGACAGTTGATTAACAGGAAAGTAGAGAACACAACCCAGGTTGCCAGTATTATCTAAAACTAATGTGTTAAACATTTTGAAACTGAAATCAGGTAAGGAAGCATCTAAACTGAGGCACAGCAGCACAGAGCTTTAAATAAAGGCAAACAACAATCTCACATCAACTGAGGGAGTTCTTCAGCCTTGAAAAACAGACAATAGTACAGAGATGAGTAACTGCTGACAGCCTCTAGGTGAGTGAGGCCACCTAGACACAGGAGGAATCCCACCTCTGAAACAGACAATCTGAGTCCACCCACTCCAACACTGATTCAGATCAGATTTGTCACTGAAACCTACCTGATGAAGCTTTGCTGCATGTGTTTATTCAGACCTGGGATGTCTGCATAATTGTGAGTCATCTGCCTTTGCAGTGTAATGAGATGTATTGTAATATCTGTCCCAAATTTTCCAAATCTTACCTCTAACAAAAGGCCTTATAATAATAATAATTAACAAATTAAACTAATGAAAGCCAAACTAAAAGTAAATTCTTTATAAATAAAAACTGAACTGAAATAACTACTTCTACTCTGGGAACTAATGAAGTAAAATGAATTGAAAACACAAATCCAAGACAAAATAACAATAACATAAAATAAACTATAAATTGAGATTCATGAGTAAGTGATCTATGTGGAGTGTCAAATTTGTTTAGCGTTTCTTTTTGGGGTTTTATTTATTTATTTTTTATATGAATCTTCATAACTTTTTCAATTCTGGGGGGAGCATAATGGCATGAAGTGACACAAATTTAGACACGAAATTAGTTGATTTCCAGCCAGACACAACTGCCCTCTGAGAGAAATACTAAATGGCCTTTGCCTTCTGCTAACTAGTCTTGTGCTGATTATTAAGCTAATTTTGAATCTGTGACAAAGTTCGGCACAAGTTAAGAGTCTCACTTTCCTCACTTTTCATTTCTTTAGTTTAGTTTCAGTTTAACACAGAAGGCTCCTCTTTGAAACATTTTCTGTTCCCCACAATCCCTATGCTATGTTATACTGGAAACTTAAACAACAACAGTATATACTTAGGACATGCAGTCTATGAGTAACACATTTGGATTTATGCACTTTATCATCCCTTTAAAAGTAATGTTTTATTTAATCCTGTATTAACAAAATGGAGGTATTTTATACAATTTTAAAATAACAAAAGCTAACAGAAGTGAGCCAATCATCTTTCACATCCGCACACTGACTAATCGGATATTGGTGAAAGCACCAAGGGTAGACAAAGAATGTCCAAAGCACTGAACTGAATTCAGATGCACATATTCAAGTAAACAAGACTCTGAAATCCAAACTCGCACATACAAACAGAAAGTGTTCTTTAGCAGGTTTATTCATGATAACACTTATCTCACAGTGATGAGTGTTTACATTCAAGTTTGTGCCTTCAAAGGTTGTTTTTTTTTTCTTCCTTTTACCATATACATGGACTTTGGCTGCTAAAACACAAGTAAATTTAAACACTTCATGTCTGAAGTACACATCATAGTAAAACGCTTCCTCACTAGTGCAAATACTGATGCAGTCTCTGTAATAAGCCACCAAATAAGCATTATGCAACTGAAAAGGCGGTGCTATGTTTTTAATAGTAACAGGCAGCAAAATATAAATGGTAAAAAACTTTAAAGATGAAATTCAGTATTAAAACAAGACAATGAGTCTTCCTTTGCTCACAATTGTTCATTCAAATGTAACATTTTGTCACACACCCTAAAGGGTTTTTTCAGTTTCCGTGAGTGTGAGCGAGTATGTGGCCACCAAAGCAGATGTGAAAACAGCAAACTGCAGAATCACGAATTCAACGGCACCACAGAAAGACCTGAACACGTTAATGCACATTCAATGAAATGTTGCCACTAAAAGCATTTTAACACTGTAACTCGCCCATATTGTTACAGTTACTGTGTTAGCAACAAATGCAAGCATAAAGCTTTCAGTAGAGAGCTTACAGCATAACAGCAAGAGGTTTTTACAGAAATAAACACCAACTTCAAGTTGCTCAAATATGCTTATTTGTTGAAAAAGTTCAAATGAAATGCAACACAAAGGTTTGTCTGAAAACAGCTTTCCTTTTAAAATGTCCCGAGGCCATAAATACAGTATTACCTCAACTGTGCTTTAATGCTGAATCGGCATTGTCATCTTTTGATCACGATCATGGACCAAGAGCGTGTAAAACAGTAATAGAAGAGCTGAAGGGATTAGTCATTATTTGTTCTAATCAGCTGGATTTTCTGGTGGTTGACTTTCTTATAATAAGTTATCTTTCATACAAAAATGCTAAAATGCCACTATCTTATGCGTGTTTAGATTTCTGTGATGGTAAAGTAAGTGCCAGTTATTTTCTGACTATTTGTTATCGATTCAAAAGCAGCATTAACCTAATTGTAACCCTACATAACTATAGGCTGTATATAAAAGATGGCCATGATGGCATAGTCATCATGACACCCATTGGTTAGTGAGGTTCTTAATGAGAAATTGAGGGACAGCGTCCACCACAAAGTAAAGCTTAATCTAATTACTGTCTGTTTTGACTCTGAGGAATATAATTTATAAAATCAACATGTTATATTCAGTAAAACCTGAAACTGAGACCACAAACTCATAACAAGGGTTGAAGGGCTGTTTTCGTGTAGACTTCTATTAAACCAGATGAAACCAGATGGGTCGCCCCCTGCTGGCCATTTGAAATGAAGCACCTTTAAAGAACATTAGCTTTTTTTAGCTAGGTATATCTTTTATATACAGTCTGTGTATATAATTATAATGCACTTTCTGTCTCAAATGAAATGTATATAATTGCAGCTTTATATTACACAGGCCAGATTGAAGCATGAAGTAAAAAAACTGTGCAGAAAAGAGCAAAAGTCAAGGCACAGTTATAAAGAATCTAAAAGCAGCTTTGGTATTGACTGGTTTCAATTTATAGTGTTGTGTTTTAATATGTTTTTTTCTTGTAGTCCTACTGATCTCTGCAATACCGAGGGGCCATTATCATTTGTTACCAGTAAAGCTTAATCTCATTCTTCAGAGGCTCCAGGAGGGGTGTTTAAACTCTATCCTGTGGCGTGCTGCCCATTTGGCATAGATGGCTTTCTCAGTGATGAAGCGATGGCCTCCACGTTGGGTGTGCTCATGGACCTTATACATCTTGCACTCATTGATCCTGTTTTGTTCATAATAATGGTAGGGAACAACACTGTGATTGGCTCGGCTGTTGACAGGAGGGAAACAGTAGGTCACTAAAGATAGTAATAAGCCACTGTATGTACATAGAATATATACACACATAGAAAAAAAGATGGAGCTTGATTATGGATCATAATCTCACCTGCAGTAGCCGTCATCAATCATTCCATAAACATGGATGCTGTCGCACATTTCTATGGCCAGAATCATTGTGAAGAATCCAGTGCTGAGAAACGCCCCAGTTTTCATTCTGAGTGAGAAACACAGAATATTTGTTCTTCCAAAAAAAGTTTTGCAAATTCTTACAAATTCAAAAATAAATCCTACAACTGGCACCAGTCATAATCTACACATTAGATCATAACTGTATCATACACTGTACAGAAGAGGGTATGTAATTATTTAATTTCCTGTAGAATTTGTAGGTTTGCTCATTTTCCAAATGAAAGAGAACAGCCTCTATTTTTATGGTAGTTTCATTTTGATGGAGAGAGACAGAATATCAACCACAAATCCAGAAAGAAAAACACATAACATTAAAGTTAGAAATTGATTTGCATGTTATGGAGTGAACTGTATTTGATCACTAAGCAAAACATGAATTAGTACTTGGTGGAGAAACCCTTGTTGGCAAACACAGCGGTAAGATGTTTTGTGTAGTTGGTCACCATGTTTACACAAATCCCAGACTGGATTACTTATTTTTATTTCCTCCACTGTATTTCTTTTTAGAGACCGTCATTTCCTCAAGAGGTTTTGCCATTAGCCAGGCTGTCATTGTGTAAAGAACGTCCTCAGTAAATGACTGACCTGATTAAACAATGGGAACACTGAGTAGCTTCACCCCCTTGTGGTAAAAACATGGTATTACATAGAGCCCAGCCCAAGCGCAGCTTCAATTGATATCTCTTTGACGCTCACATTTTTGGATTTCAGGTTATAGCAGTTATTTCCTCACATTCTAACTGTAATTCATTTAAGAAAAACTTAAACTTTGAACACAAGAATTCACAATAACTTCCTTTAAAGTAAGGTATCAAGATTTAACTGAGGTGATTTAAGGCTGAAATGGGTAAATTATATTTTCACCTTTAATATTTTGAATTAGAGAACAAAGTTATACAGTGTGTAAATGGCTACACTTTCTATTTGTACAACTTACGAGTACTCCTACCGTACCTGTTTTTTCCCGTTTCGTTCTGAAACACCCCGTCACAGTACTCAATCTTGTCTTTCGTCACAGCATACATTCGGACATTTGGATATTTTTTTGCCATTTTCAGGAGGGCATTGAAGATGTGTCCTTTGCCATCTTGCCTCATGTTCCTTTCAGGACCCCAAAACACATATGTGGTCTCTGCTGACTGCTGGAAATAATACTGCTCATTTTTTACCAGCAGGGGAACGCTGGTGTGAGACACAACACGAACGGTGGTGCGCCTCCCAACGTCTTTCTCAAACCCCTTAGTGGGCGCGTTATTCATCCGGATCACACACCCGATTTTGTCTATCTCCTCTCCGGCGCCAACTCTGAGCATCTGACCTGAGCTGGAGACCAAGGCACACTGACTACAGTTGATGTCCAGTATCTGTGGAGAGAAAAGGGGAAAGATGAGAATTTTTTAGGCTGTGGTTTGTGCACATAAATCAGTAATTGGATGGTTATAGCTCAGCTGTTATTCCATTGTAATTACAGAATGTGCTTTCATAAGGTTTTGTGTTGGGCTAATTAAAATAGACGAAATCAGAATTTTAGGTCAAGTATGTCTTGCTGGGAACAATCGGAATTGATTATATTATTTACTGGGTTCAGCTGTAGACTCTGGATGTGCAACTCAGGACTTTCACAGACTTTTTCCAAAGCAACTCCTGTGTTCTTTTGTGGTACGCTCTAGCTTTTTGTCTTGTTGAGATGCAAATGTATTCACAGTCTGACAGAAATACTACAGATCTGTAGTAATGGTTTTCACCCTAACACACACAAATACAATCAACAGAGACTGACAGACTGACAGTTGCATGCCTTTGTTATTTAGGTTAAGAAATGCACTGTATAATTAATATGAGTGGCTATCAGTTTTCACAGTCACCATGAACTTAGGGAACCAGACCTCTGTAAGCTTTTTTTTGTGTAATCCTACCCTCCTTGTGTCTCACCTGGTCCATTCTGTCGGGCTTGATCCTCTTGTAGCCCTCGAGTCCCTTCCTGGCCGCAGCAGGTGATGGGCCGTCCCGTATCATCACATGCCCAACCCAAAACAACAGAGGGAGGCTCAGGGTGAGCAGGCAAAGCCAGCGAAGCATCTGCACAGGCGGATAAGATGTAGGAAATGTTAGGGTAGTGCAGCTCCGCACACATTATTAGCGATCGGATGGGTTAAATAAGCAAGTGACTCTTACCAGAACGTTCATATCAAGGCCTTCGGCAAACCCCTGCTTCCAATGGCCCGGACGACACTCATTTTTCACGCCGACTCGAGAGAGACATGCCCAGTCAGCCACCGTCGATTCATGATCACAAAGGTTCCATATCAAAAGATTTTTAATTGCCTTTCCAGCTCTGTCAAATTCCAGCATCCGTTTCTTTGTGCGGTTACTTTCGTTTTCATCACGTAGCCGACCACATTATTCTAGTCTTATTTGCACCATGTTTACATCAACTACCATCCGAAATCTGCAAGCTGCCCGTTTCTTCCCCAGCTTTGTTGACACAGTACCCTACAAACAATTCCTAGGACCCGCCTTGTAAATTATAACGTAGCCCGTCTTTACAGAATACGGCTTCCGGGGCCACTATTTCGCAACAAACTATCACCGGAACAAACTTGATTAAAAAAACATTACTTACCAGAAATAACTGTAACTTTAATAACAATAACTATAATAACTATGAATTTAACTATATAAACAATGATGGTATACGTTTTTATTGTTAGTATTTAAATTCATATAATGACATTAGACATGCGGAGGGCAGTCACGCCTTTATTCTGAAAGAAACATGCCAAAACCGGAAGCAGTCTTCTCAATACTTTTGGTTACTTTAAAGTAGCCGTCTATGCGACGTTCCAGTACCCCTCGTAAATTTTCTTTCCCACAATAGGAGGAAAGTAATTTATAAACATTATTTCAGATGGTTAAACTACGCCGTCTCAATACTTTTTCTCGTTATACTATTCTGGTAGCCTGACTCCAATGTTATGGCCTTTAGCATATAATTAAGAATATAATTATTCAATAAACGTAACCCATTTATGTCCCTTTAGCATTGTTTTTAATTATAAAGTATATACACCGCCTTGAACTTTCTAGCAGTATTTCCCCTCTGTTTGATCAGGATAGAGTGACGATATTTCAAGAACTAATATCTGATTGGATTAGAAAAGTCTTTGCCCCGCCTACTCTTTTATCTGATTCGTCAAGAAATAGGTAACTGTCTTCACACCTCACCCGACTGGCCCGTGTCCGCGTCGGTATTCTTGCGTTAACTACGTAGGGCCTTGGGAAAAAAAAGAATCCACCGTGCGACTTTCACTGACTGTGACACGGGGATGTCCTTCCTTGAAGCCTCGGATGATCACGGTATGTACCTACGCAAGGATTATGTTATTAGTTGTGCCTCTGGGGAAGCTGCACACAAAGCCGCCTTGAAGTGTGTGAGCTGTCAGCTCACAGACTTTGCTCTGAAGCCAGCTTGACCTGGTGATGCTATGATGCAGACTGACAGATAAGGCTAGCCGAATAAGCTAGCTGACGTTAGCATATGCTCATCTAAAAAGATAGTTTCATCTTTGCTAGTGCTAATATTTAGCTGTCCTTGACTTGAGCTTTAAAGAAAGACATAAACCCTGCTGCTGAATTTATGGGGAAAGCTCTAAAATAATTTGTGTCAGTTGAAATTACTGTCTTCTGCTTCCTGGACTGGCTAACAGCTAGCTTTCGCTTTAACATATTGTCAAAGTTCTTTCAACTAGCAGCCTTGTTTTCAATAACTTAAGTCTGCATGGAACATAGTTGTGCTTTATGTACACTAGTTTGCTTCAGAGACGTAGAAAGTCAACCAGTTTCTCATGTTGAAGCTACAACTACTATCTTTTGTGAGGCTTTGTCTCGTACAGTATGTTGAATGGCGTGCTTGTTGCCTATTTGCATACCAGACACTCCAGACTGGTTAAGTAGTAGCTGGCAGAGTGTCAGTCTGCTCTCCTTCCAGGTCAAACCATAAACCTGTACAAGTTAAGTTTGTACAGTGAAAATAGGTGGTACAGTGAAAGTAGTTTCTACTAATAGCTGGTATTATAATGGCTGTGCAGTTAGAAGCACCTACACTTAGGTACAAACCTTGTGCCTTATCTGTTGTAGAACAACAAGACTGCAGTTAGCCACTGGATGAGAGAGTGGTTGATTACGGATGGTTCATCAGCAGGTCCTGAGCTGGCTGATCTCAGACCAGAGGGGAAACTTAATTTTTGCTGTGGCCTGAAGGCATTATAATTCCTGAGATGTCAATGAGACGAGGAGAAGGGATGTCCATCGCTCAGGCTTTGGCCATGACTGTAGCAGAGATACCCGTCTTTCTCTATTCTACATTTGGGCAGGTAAACCCCTTTATACAAATGCACACACAGAGTGTACACTATGTTTGGTCGTATCCTCACTGCTTCTTCTGCTCTCAGTCCATATTTTCCCAGCTGAGGCTTACACCTAGCCTGAAGAAGGTGCTGTTTGCCACAGCACTGGGCAGTGTGGCTCTAGCTCTCACTGCTCATCATTTAAAAAGGCGAGGAAGAAAGAGGAAGCAGGGAACACAAGAAAAGGATGGCCAGAAGACAGTGGGAATACCAGAGTCGCTCATGAAGACAGGACGGCCCTCATCATTAAAGAGAGGTGTGAAGACAGAATATTATGTTTCTTTTTTAGGGGAGGGGGACGCTGTTTAGTGTCTTTCAGCAGTGGTTGCTGTGAAACATTCAGTGAGGAAATGTTTTTCCTTTGGGACAGCCCCATTTACTGGTCGACAGATGATGAGTCCCAGCACTCGAAGCAATGATACGATGAGTGGAATTTCCTCCCTGGCTCCCAGTAAACACTCAAGTTCATCACACAGCCTGGCATCTGTAAGTTTCATACTTTTTTTTTTTTTTTGTTGTCATGTTTGCTTTATCTTTGACTTATTTTTTTTTAAATTTTTTTTCACCATCTTTGGGTGTATATGTGTTTGGATGCTCATTTCTGGCTTAGATGCGAGTCCCAAGCTCTCCAAATCAGTCTGCCAATCCATCCACACCTTGGGAGGCAGAGCCTGTGGTGGAAGAGTCAGGGGCGGTAGAGGACGCTAATGCAGAGAATCTCTATTTAATGGGTAAGTATTCACTAAAACTCATGTTTTGTTTTTTTTGTTTGTTGTTGTTGTTTTTATTGTTTAATATAAAAACAGCGTAAAGCCACTTTTTTTTTGGTCTTTTTACTATTTCATGCTGACATTAGAGCACAAGCTATCTATAATTACATTGCAACCAATATTAATCCGTATCAATTTAATGCAAAAATGCCAGTTCCTGTAGCTCTGTGCCACTGGTACTTGTAGTGCAGTACCATTATTTTTCAACTCAAGAGTAATGTGCTTAAAACTGTTTTTGCACATGCACTGCAGCCTTTAATTTCTCTTTTAATTAACTGGGGAACTTTATGTGAGTAATAAAATCTTTCAATGAATTGGACCGACATACAACAGGTTTTAGTCTATGTAAAATCTGATTGAGCCCATGTGTGAATTGAACTGTTGTGTGCTACATTTAAGACGGGGCAAAACTGCAGACAACGTTGGGATTTAAATCAAATTTTTCGCTTCCTGTTAGGCATGGAGCTGTTTGATGAGGCTCTGCGAAAGTGGGAACAGGCACTGAATATTCGCCATCAACCCCACTCAACATCCAGCAACAACAGCCTGGCTCTGCAGGGAGCAACATGTGGAGACGTTACCACGGTAACTATTAAACTGTTATTACCAGTGTGTGGTGGGATTGCTAGTCATTAAATGATGTCAAGCAACATTTTGAAAGATACAATGTCTGAAATTCAAAGTCTGAACCTCAACATATCCACTGAAGATCACTCAAATCACTCTGTGGGTCTAAGATGGGAGTGACTCCAAACCACCTGAAGCTATCGTTGGCTTCAGTTTATCAACTATCATAAGCTTTGTCGTTTCCCAAACCAGATATGCATTGGAGTCCACTTGCACAGTGGGACTGTGACTGAACTCTCACTATGAAAAGTAACTCAGTAAATCATCTCTGCTATAGCTGCCGGAGAGCTGTCATCTTTCAGTGAAGGCTGAGGTCAGAATATAAATGGTTACACTGGGGAACATTAAAGCTGAGATTTCCTGTTAATCTTTTAAAGCATTTTTATCCCTCAAAAGGCAGAAATAATCAAATACTTTACGTGATGTTGTTGCAACACATCAGTGCATTAAACAACTGCCTAATAATTATAGAAAAAAAGAACTGGTCATAAACTGTTGCAAGACTTTTATTTATTAAAAATAAAATAAAATGATTAAATTTAACTATAAAATGTGATGCGGTTCCAGAAAAGCTGATCAATTTCACTTAGTCTGCCTCCTGGATTAGAGCCCAGTGCCAGTTTAATGTAACTAAATAAACTAATTCTTGGGTTATTTATTATATAATATTAAAGTGGTATCTTTATTATTTTTATTTTACAGGGTGAAGCCCAAAATAAAGTGTTTGCTGAGAAGTTAGAGACACTACTGCACAGAGCGTATCACCTACAGGAGGATTTTGGGAGCAGTATCCCAGCAGACAATGTGCTGGCAGACTTTGGTAAGAATTTCTGTGTGACCCTATCAGACAATATAAATATTATTAATCAAAGATCATACATTTCGACTGTTGGCTCTTGGCCTCTGTCACTGCTTAGAGCTATACATGTGTGCTTCCAGTCTGGCTCTGGCAGTTAGCTTGTGTTGTTCGTTTGGCAGAAAGTGAAGGAACGCTAATCTTGCCTCAAGTGGAAAGTTTCCATAGACTGCAAGAGGACGATGCTACTACTGTCACTTCTGATGACTCCTTCTTTTCGGCTGCGGAGGTGAGCTTCTTTCCCCTGCCCTCTAAAGACCGACCGTCAGAAAACACAGTACAGTCCAGACCCTTCAAAAAACCTCCCCCTCACTCGTGTATTCATCTGTGTACACACACATACAGGCTGTGCACTGAGGTATTTGTGTTTATGTGCAGCTGTTAGATCCCATGTCTCTAGGGGAGGTCTATCAGCCAGCAGCCCTTTATGAAGAAGCCCTGTCTCTGGTCCATGAAGACAAAGTGGCCTATAGGACCCTGAGGTAACTGTTATGTGAGGCATTTTTATTTGTATACTCAAAGATGCACTGACAAATACTTTTCTAAAAATAGTATATATTACTGTAGATAATGCCATATGAGTCACTGTCTGTTGTATCTGTGATCCCTCATAGACTTTCAACTAAAACTACTGAGAAACGCAGTTTAATTGTCAAACATCAAAAAGCCTTTAGCAGTTAAACTGGTGGAGACCAAAACTGAGCAAAAAGTGAATTTTTTTTTAGACTCCAAATTAATGCTAGTGTTACTTTTTGGATGTGAAAATGCACATTTTAACAAAAGGTAATAGTGGTGCTAAAAAACAAAACATCTTATACTCCAATACACAGCAGCCAAGAGAAGCATGAGCCTTTGTTGACTTAAATAAATCTTTCTGTGTTTACCAGGACTGAACTACTTGAATGTTATAGTGACCAAGACTTCCTTGCCAAGCTTCACTGTGTGAGACAAGCATTCCAGGTTGGTTTCAGCAAACCTACACTTCATACGTATACACATGTTTAAAACCAAATTACTACAGAAATTAAACCAGTGATGCTTTTCTTTTCCAGATCCTATTGTTAGATGAAACCCATCGTACGTTTTTCATGGAGACCGGAAAGCAAATGATTGTTGGTTTAATGATAAAGGCGAACAAGGTAAAATACTCCTCACTGGATCCTCAGTTATGAATGTCCTTTTGGACAATTTTAAAGAACTGTAATTATTTATTTAAATTGATCTCATTTGATCTTTTGCTTCATCTCAGAGCCCCAAAGCTTTTCTAGAAAGCTATGAAGACATGCTGCTGTACACTCAGAGAGAGGAAACGTGGCCCATCACTAAGATGGAGCTGGAGGGTCGAGGAGTGAGTAATCATGCTGTTATTCAAGTCATCACATCAATGTGATAGTGTATGTGTGTTTACGGTAAGCATGAATGTGACAAGTGAATACAATCAGTAGCTATTAATTGCAAACATCAGTTAACATTTGTATTTTTTTGTTTGTTTGTTTGTTGCTTTTTGGTTTTTTAGTGAAAATATTTAAAGGGACCGATTGCTTAATTTTTTTTAGTTTCTCTGTGACAGATATAACCCACTCATGACCAACACACATGACAGTGTGCTCAGCTCTTTGAGCTCTTTGAGTCAGATGTACATAATTTTAATATGTTGCACATTGCTGCCACCAGCTGTTCATCAGTAGTATAGCTTCAAACTATCCATAGGACATGTTCACACATGCTTGGGTGTGTGTATATCTGAAACAGACCGACCAGGAGCCCACTCTTACAAACCTCCATGTCACCACAGTAGATAAGAAAAAAATACAGAAGTTTTTTTTTCTTGTACAACAGTTGCACAACACTATCTAGTCCTTTATGTGTTCCAAGTCAGGTATGCCTGATGCCACAGCAGTTCAAAACATTACTGCTGCTAAAAATAAATAAATAATGCCTTCACCATTCCTCATGGTCCACATTTCCTGAACATTGCAGGTGGTTTGTATGAACTTTTTCGACATAGTGTTGGACTTCATCCTGATGGATGCATTCGAAGACCTGGAGAGTCCTCCTGCCTCTGTGGTGGCTGTGCTGAGGAATCGCTGGCTCTCTGACAGCTTTAAAGAAACGGTTAATATGATGCACATGCATCAGCACAGACACTTACTCCATATTCCACCAACATGCTTATAACGGTTTCTCTAATAATAGTTTTTAATTTTCTGGCAGGCTTTGGCGACTGCTTGCTGGTCCGTCCTAAAAGCCAAAAGGCGTCTTCTTATGGTGAGTTTATACTAGTTTTAGAAATTAATACTTTTTAACAGCTTTATTTAAACCTAAAAAAATTTGTTTATTCTTGTTCTTCTGCTCTCTCCAGGTTCCTGATGGATTTATCTCCCACTTCTATGCCATATCTGAGCATGTAAGCCCAGTTTTAGCTTTTGGCTTTTTAGGACCCCGGCAGCACCTGAGTGAAGTGTGCACAATTTTTAAGGTGAGGCCATACAGAGTATATGGTTTAAAAATATTTCAGTGCAAGCAGACACTATCCTCTGTGCAGGAAAACCACTAGCTTAATGTACAACTCTACAATTCTTACAGCACATGACACTAAATGTATAATTTATACAATTGTATAGTGAGATGTACAGCAGAGGATGCAAGATGCTGCGAGATACTTTCTTTAATCGGGTTATAAAACTTTATAGAAGTGCAGTGTTGGAAGAAAAGAGTCAGAGTGAAACTCTTAAACCTACATTTCCTTTAATGCAACTCTAAAGGTTCTTTGCCTGCTGCTTTGTTAGAGCACATTTATATACAGTTTGTACTAAACCTAATTTCAATAGTTTTTAGATTTAAGTAGCAGCTCCTGAGCCACAGACATCATTACATGCAAGAGCCTTTACAGTCAAAGTAGTAGTAGCTGCAGTAACAATGATGGGGGAACTTGCATTCATGTGGCTCAGAGCTAACTAAGCCACATAAAGTTGTCTTCACGTGGCTTAACAACACACACACATTATCATACCATCTTTTCATTTTGTTTTCTCTCCTTTCACCTGCAGCAACAAATCGTGCAGTACCTTAAGGATATGTTTGACCACGACAAGGTCCGCTTCACCTCTCCACAGTGTTTGGCCGAGGACATCCTGAACCTTTCTCACCGCCGAAGTGATATTTTACTTGGGTATCTGGGAATCGATAGCCTTCTTGAGATCAACGGTGCCCTGCCCAGTGACCAAGAGGGCTCTTCAGGGACCAACTAGGAGGAGTAGGGTAACAAAGAGCTTCACTGGGCCTTGTACCAGCCAACAGTAAAGAGGCTGATGAGTTGGGAACAGCAAGAAGTCACAGCTGGACAGTGTGTCGATATTAAGACTGGAAAGAATCATCCTCCTGTGATACACTGAGAACCAGCATTATTCATTTATTCATCCGTGTTTCATTAAACATGACGGCTTAAGTAGGACATACTTTCACTAGTTCTACAAATTAGTGAAAGTACATTGGTGTAACGATCCCACCTCTTTTATGTTGCTGCTGTGTAGTCATCGAGAATACAGACTGCAGTCATGTAATGACAGACGTGCAAGGACTTGTCTTTGCCTTGTTGGGTGAGTTCTTGAAAACAGGCCTGACGGGAAGCATTACCAACCCATGAAAACTGTGCCAGCTACACTTGTACTCCACATGGATTGAGGGCTTTCAGAGAACTCTTCATCACCTCTGGAATTAAGGGGAATCATGGTGTGGGAAACAGCATTTTGTGTTTTATTTTAAATTAAGTAAGCTTAAATGTTTAAAATGATGAGATTTCCTGAGAGTTCTTGAGCACTTTGGCCAACTGATTATTAGTGCTGCTGGTTAATGCAAAATGGGGTGGGTTTGTCTCCACACTTGTCCTTAAATCCTCTTTAATGTCTTTATTTATTTTCTCCACTTTTGGTCAATCGAGCTTAAAATGTGGTGAAACCAAGAAAGTCTGTTGAATGCAAAAAGACTTGAAATAGTGTAGGGTTCTGGCATGTTACTCATGTTTGACACCAGTGTTCACAGTTGCAGTAAACATGAGTGTTTGAAGAAGCATGTGCTAAGGGATTATGAAGGTTTACTTTCTATAAATTACAACGCAAATATTCAGATGTAAATGGCAACAAAAAACAAAACAACACTCCAAACACAAATAAGAGTGTGAGATGTGAAATACCTGTCTGAAAACTATTACATAAAACACAACAGTTTAGAAGAAGCTAAGGACAATAAACAATGTAAGACTTGAGTTCTCTTGATTTGTATTTGCTAATTCTAAAGTCTGAATCTGAGACATTCTCCCAGTTTAATTGCTTAAAAACATTTGGGTCTAAAAGTGTCCAGTCGCAAGTTGTACCAAATAAGCCTTTAACAAAGTGGATACTACTCACTTGTCCTAGCAGGGAAAGTACGTGTTACTAATGGTACCAGTAGCGCTGTGTTGTTCACACGACATGAACAGTAGAGTCTTTCCGTGGCAGTTTCACTGGTTAACATTAAAAATGGCTTTAAAGTAGGTGAGCCAGTGTTGGGGCCCGAGCACTGTGCATGTTTGCTCACTCACTCACTATCACACCTTAACAGCACACCTACTGAATCATTTATGTTTTTGTTTACATCTATACTTTCAGTGATAAAAGCTCGCTGTGGGGTTGTTTTGGGGGGTTTTTTGTGTAAGAAGGTGGACACCTGTGGAGATCTTGCTTAGAAAAAATATATGTAAACAGTGACACAACCTCTAAATGAAACATTGCCATTTAGTATTCTTAGGAAGGATATTTCTGATGTTATAAAGATCTGTAATGAAGAACAAGGCATTGTACAGCTGGACTGTCATCCACATAAGTGCACTGATGATAACGTCTGAGTCTGCTTTGCTATCCAAAGTACTGTGAACTTGTTATTGAATGGCATTTATTCCGCAATTATCGCATCGATTACACCACTACTGCACAGGCGCATTTCTGATACGCAGATATATACAAAGTAAATCGTCTTCATGAAATTGAATTTAAAGATTATTTATTTACAGAGAAGCACAGTTGTCTGAGGGGAGGAAAAAAAATTTCTCTGAATACTTTGGGCCGTTTTAGTGTCAGTAGTTTATCTTATGAGTCCATACAAGTGTATTTCTTGTGGCAGTGATAATCCAAATCAAAGTCTCTTAAATTAAGAGCTTTTATTTTCTTTTATTTTGATTCAGTATTTGCAGGGTTATTTGGTGTTTCTGTCTAACATGAACCAAAACTGTAAATTTAGCTTTTACAGAAAATCATTTGGTTCCTCATTGTGACAGATGAGCATTTTGCACTTTAGCAGAAAAATCCAAGAATGTCCAATAACCCTTTTTTAATAGCTGTTGATTTATTTGTTGCATCAAAAAACTGACATATTATTGATAATAAAGAACATAAATGTTGTACAGTAGAGAAATTATCTTTCCCAGATCACTATACATATGATTATTGTTAATCTGCTATCTAGGTTTTGTTTATGTGTCCATCTTGTTCAAATTCTCCCCTTTAACTGTTCTAGTAATTTTTATACCATTATTTGTCATGCAGGTAAATGCTGTTATGGAAAAATGCTTCTGTTTAGTCTTGTGTCCATAGATTGGTCTGCTTTTTCTCAGAAATACATCAGTGTATAATACTACTTGTAGACCCAGGCTTAGCCTTTAGCTGTAAGTTTTAAAGATCCCAGATTACCAATATTTAGGAATTTCTAATTTAAAAAAAAATTATGCATGGAGTCTTCTTAACATATATTTGATGCAAGAATTTCAGGTGGCCAAACTATAGAGAAAGATTGGTTTTGTTTTGAAAGTCACTGCTATGTTTCAAGTGTCCTACTCATGCCTTTTGTCTTTTCTATTGTTAATCAACAGCAGAAACTCTAATCTGATTTTAATTTTCCATATTAAATGTTATTTTTTTGTTAAATGATATTGAGTTATTTATTTTACTTCACAAAAGTCAAACATTCTAATTGAGAGTTTTAAAAGAATATTGTTAGAATAGGTATATCAAAAAACACTGGCTTAATTTTGCGTGGGTTCCCTCCGGGTACTCTGGCTTCCTCCCACCGTCCAAAGACATGCAGCTTGTGGGGATAGGTTAATTGGAAAATCCAAATTGTCACTAGGTGTGAATGTGCGAGTGAATGTGAGTGTGAATGGTTGTCTGTCCCTTTGTGTTGGCCCTGCGACAGACTGGCGACCTGTCCAGGGTGTACCCTGCCTCTCGCCCTATGACAGCTGGGATAGGCTCCAGTGCCCCCCGCGACCCTGAAAAGGATAAGCGGCAGCGAATGGATGGATGGATGGTTTTTAAGGAAGTACATGATCATAGTAGATAATAAGAGGAAAAAAATCTAATGTGACTAAAATATTGGTCAGGAATTTTAAATCATTATTATTATTATTAGTAGTAGTAGTAGCATCAAAAGAGGGCAAATATCATCAGTATTCCCAATTGTTCAGGTGATTATTGTCATCATGTAACTGTCCCCTATAAAAGTCCTGAATTTAAAAAGTACAGTTCTTACATACTTTATCTTTATTTTGTCAAAAGATGATATATGCGTCCGTGGTGCTACCACCCTTTAAAAACCTTCAAGACTGATGTTTTTTTTTTTTTTTTTATCGGCCTCACGTGCAAGCGATTATTAGCTATCATGCTAACACACTAGCACCTACCACAAAATTACAAATCTACTAACATTTAGCTCGATTATAGCACTGCTCGGGTGGATACAGGCATAGTTTAAAGTCAAAAATGTTTTTGTTTCATCATTTGCTGCTCCTTTTAAACTATTTAAAGTAATAAGAAAGAGATGGCGGCACACAAGAGGTAAAAGCTCTGTAGTGATTCAATAGTAAGCCACAAATCTTACAATAACTTTGTATAACAAGTCTGGATAACTTGTTACTTTTTATCCCAAAAGAAAGACATTTTAATTTTTGAAAAAAGACATAAATGGGAATCAAAAATTCCTTACACTGCATTTATGATCAGGTTTGTCTTACAGCCTGAAAGTTTGTATTCAAAGTTAAGGCTGTTTCCAATATGAACTCATGCAACCAATTTAAAATAAAATTATAATATTTGAATCATCTAATTTTAAGAGATAAGCCATGATCTTGATATTAACCTCTGTGCAATATTTGTTTCCCTCCCCTGTATAAAATGAGAGTTACGCCTGTGGATGGGTGAGGTACACCAAGCGGAGTTTGTAAATACATTTGGCTAATACAACAGCCAGACAAAGGTTATATGATCACTAATTGTTAAAGCTCTTTTAGAGAAGTATTGATGTTTGTGTGTGAACTTTATAAGCAATTTAGTTTATTTAAATTATGTTAAACTGACTGGCAAATTGTGGTATAATATACAGGTGTTCTGATTATTTTTATATAATGTCTTTGATATAAATAAGGTGTACAAAATACCTAAAAAAACAAACAAAAAAACCCCAAACTGTATAGCTCCAAGTTATAGTATTTAACCATAGATATTATAAAGAATAAACACAAAGCAGGTTGTGCCAGAGTTTTATAGTTTTGGATTTACTTATTAGTTTATATTTTGTTTTGTATTTTTGTTTTTAATTCAGTTTAGTTTAGTTTTTACTTTTCATTGCTTGACAATGTTTAGTTTTACTTTTGTTTTTATTAGTGTCAGTGTTAGGTTTAGTCCCTTTTGTATAGAGTGCATATGCCAGATGCAAGATTTAGAATTCTCAGTAGAAGTATCATTGCAATAAAAAACTGAACTTTTTTGAAAGCAGTTGACTCTCAGTCTTTTAGACATCCAAAATTTCAATAAACATGTCTATTAAAGCCTCATCAGCTCAATTATGATAACAAATTTTCCCTCTGTATTAGTATTTTTATTTTAGTTTGTTTGCAAAATTGTTTCAGTGACTTTTAGCTTTTCTTGAAAATCTAGTTTTTATTTTAGTTAAGGAAAATATTTTTCACATCTAGTTTTCATTTTCAGTTCAGCTTTATTTAACTATAATAACCTTGGCATGAGCACATCCCCTGCAAGTGTGGCATTATTGTATATTGCACATGTATAACCTGAAAGAGACTGGTCATCTATAGTTAATGTGGGAACCTATGTGCTGGAGTAGCATTACCCAGCACCTTGGCACCACTGACTGGTTTGTAAAGACCGCTGCACTCTTCATTGGCTAACAGCTGGTTAATTCCAAGGCATAAGTCACTGAGCTTCTGGCTTCCTGACATTTAGAATGATAAAAATTTGCAAAATGGACACAAATATGACACAAAAGGAATGACTGAGCCCATAAAATCATCAGGAAAGTGTTTACAGGGGTTAGAGCTGAAGGCAGTTTTCCCACAGACTTCTGTAGGACTAAAGTCTTTTTGCAACCACAGCGATTTGCCCCTTGTGGTCAAGAAATAGAAAGCTACGCCCATGTTTAGTTGTTTAATATTCTCAAATAAACCCTTCTGGCTTTGAACATTGTTCAGGAATGATGGCGGGCCAGTAAAGTGTAGGATAGTGAAAAGGCTCAAATTAATCTTAATCAGTAATGAAATTAATTCAAAATGCACTGATACCCCCATATTGGCCCTGCCATTCACCTATTAGCAATTAAGATGACATTTATGTGTTGTGTGAAGGCTAAATGTACAAATATTTCAAAACACTTCAGTTTTTAAAAAAAAAATTAAATAATCTGCTTCTTGGACACAAGGTGGAGTAGGCATCTATTCCAAATAAAACAAGTAAAATAACACAAGTAAATATTAAAAAACAAACAAATCCACAGACCACTTGCATTTGTGTTTACCTTAAAATCTTAAAGTCAGTGTATCCCTATAATTAGTTTTGAATGACAGTTCCACTT